CAAAGTTCTGAGTCGAAAACAGACAGAAAGGCAGTTGCCTATAATAGCTGTTTTATTTTCTTCAGCGTTTACTCTATGTTACTTTCTATTCATCGTAAAATGTTTTAAAAAGCTTCATGTGGTCTGACTGGCTGGTTGCAACATAGAACTTTGCACGGACGTGCAGCAGTTCGAGTTACCACACTCCATGTGGCACACAAAGCAAGAAAAGAGAGTGAAGACAGTTAACAAACAGAAGTGTGAGGGAAAAAGAATAGTGATATGGACGAACATTGGCAGACCATAAATACTGAATGCATCTGCGCCTTTGAGAACGATTTTGAGCCGTATGACTAATTGTCTGCAGCTATTCGTCTTGATCATTCGGATGACCCCAACCACTCAAGCAGTCTACACCTCCCTACGTGGCTAGCTTAAACTAACTGTTATGGATTTCATTGACTGATGAAGCCATGTATTGGTTCGACTACCACTAGCTCTTTTCCATCTTGATCCACCGTATATCAGCTAACATTGCTTGTCGGTCGAGAAAGGTGATAGATGATGGCTAGGCATGTGTGTAACACATGTTCTTACCATCTCAATCTGTGTAACTTCACAACCTGATTGATTTCTCCTCCTTACCTAGCACTCGACCGATGCCTAAGTTCAATATTGCTCACCTTATTATATCACCTAACGCGGGAGATAGAATGCAGACACCTGTGATCAAACACTGCTAGCCTTTTCGTATCTCCCACTTTCAATGGCCATGTCTCACTTACAGCGATAACGGAGGTTAGGGCGAACTGCTAAGCAGTACACGCATCCTTTGGTCGTTAGCCAGTCGGATATCACGTCTACTAAGCCAGAGATAGTGCAGGTTGACATGTGCCAGACGAGCCTTCTGAATCCCTGCTGAGAATTCGACAGCGATCAACTCTGACACTGGCTGATGCAACTCCCCAAATAAGCGAAGTGGTCCACAAGCTCAGCCACTCGTTCACATTCCCTGTCTCTAAGCTAGGAGTCAATATAATCCAATTCTGTAGCATCATCTTAGGTTTGCAAAAGGGAGTGAATCGCATGCGAATCATTCGGAAATTTTTTCTCAAGGTGTTCAGAAGACTGAATTTTGTCAGCGTCTTCACCTAGGAGCAGGACTTTATCATCCGTATATTCTAAGTCGATGAGATTATTTTCTGGCAACAAGTCAATCCCTGAGTCGCTAAAGTGGGTTGGGGTTAAGTCCATTAGTAGTACATCTATGATGGAATTAAAGAGAAGTTGGGACAATGGGTATCCCTGACGGACAAAACTGGTTATCACCACTTCATATGACATCTCTCCGTAGGCTTTTATCTAACTGGCTGCATGGGTTCAAGTAGAGTGAGTGCGTTGATCAGTGGAATGTATTTTCGCGGCATTCATTTCACAGCCAAATGTTGCCACAGTAACTCCCATTCGATGGCATCGAATACCGCCTTTAGGTCGAAAAATATGATGTGTAGCCATAGTGATACATTTGATTTCATAGACTCAGTGAAAGATAACGTGTTTGAAAGATAAATGATTTCACTAGTTATCAACTCTCTATTCACGAGCATCTCCCTGACCGAAATAATACTCTTCATTTTTAACTATATCGAAACCAACAACCTAAAAGTTCCCCTTCCCATCAACTACCTGAAGGAACTACTTCTCATATGTACGTTTAATATCCAATTCAAATTCAATGAACAGTTTTATGTAGCTATGGTGTAGCCGTCGGGTCTCCTCTCGGTGCACTACTAGCTGACTGCTTCATGACGAGTCTCGAAAATATCCTCCATCCTTTGATGAGTCAACTGCACTTATACAGGAGATACATAGATGATGCGCTCATAATTTGTGATGAGCAATTTGATTTAGAGTATCTCCTCATAACCTTCAAAACAGCACACCCATCAGTGAAATTCACCTTAGAATGTGAATCGAACATAGCATTTCCATTCCTCGACGTACTAATTACCAGAAGACAAAACTTTACGATCCAAAGATAGATATATCGCAAGCTAACATGAATGGGATAGTTTGTCAACTTCCAGAGCTTCGTCGAATTAATCCAAAAGCAAAACCTGGTACGTACACTAAGTTCAAGGATTAGAAAAATCTGTTCGGAAGAAATGATGGAGAGAGAATTAAATTTATTTCGTGAAACCCTCCTAGAGAACGGATATCCACCAAGATTCTTTGACAAAAACGTGAAAGAGAAGTCTCCGTGGCCAAAAATCACAACTGTTCCTAAGAAAACTCTTCAAGAATCTAGAATTCAAAGGTTACATCACAGCAAAAATTATTAGAAACCGTCTTCTAAATATCTGAAGAAGATATTTGAAGCAGCCACTTTACGTACCATACTCTCCAGCAGACATTTAATCCAGTCTAACATCAAGGGAAAGATATCGCTTTTAACCACTTCAATGTGTATTTATCAGTTCGCTTGCTCATGAGGAGCAAAGTATGTCGGTCGTACGCAACGTCAAGTCCACAAACGTATTCTAGAACATTGTTCAGCTTGGTTAGCCAGAGAAAAAAAGAATAGCAGCAGCTCCATCCTCAAACACCTTGTCATCTCCGGACATCAAACACCTCCGCATGATTGCTTCACATTGCTACACAGAGTCCCTCAATACCATACAAAGGGACTTCGCATACTCCATCTGTACATAGCTGAAGCATTAGTCTCTCAGGATCTGAAACCGGACCCTTGCATTCAAAAGTATAACATACATTCACTCGCCCTACCGTGGTTAGAGTAAAGTTCTTACTATAATTTTGCTCTTTATACTATAAGTTTACTATTATTATTGTTATTACTGCTATTACTTTATTGTTATTATTCCCATCATCTATATGCTGTTACCACTCTGTTACTGTTTATTAATAACATCGCGTTTTAATACAGATTTTATGTTAAAAACACTTTATCGTCCTTCCACTAGCTCCTGCCCATTCTACACGAGTTTATTGATTAGTCATTGCCTCACACTTATTACGTTATGGGAACTTCTGCCTCTTCTCTAACTTCCAATTAGTCATCCCATCTAGGTTACTCCTTACATTACATTTTTTCGAGGATAGATTTTGTTCAGTATCTGATTGGTCTAATGATTTTGTTAAATATAATTAAGACTGTACAGCTTATGAAAATGAATCGTCGAAAAATTTTTTTCTTCGCTGTTAAGGTCTTTTAATATGACAATTACTGGACACTGATATGGTCGGAGCACCCTCTTCCTGGTCAAAAGACTGTCTGGTTCTCTCGTGTTTGTTCCTCCCCAGCACCGCTTAGTCTACGCATGATTATTGAGCCTAGAACTTTAGATATGATAGAGAGCAAGGACTCACTGCAGCACTCCCACCTTAAGAAAAATTGAAGAAAAGTATCTCATGGACGTCTTCCAAAAGAATGGATATCCACGGAATTTCATCAAGAGACATATACCCCCAAGCCAACCTACCGAAGCAAAAACCACCAAGGAAAGCACAAAGAAAATTGCCTTACCATATATAAAAGATATCTCAGAAATCACTACAAGACTCTTCAAACCTTTAGGAATTGACGTCGTACACAAACCAACAAAGTCGCTGCACTCAATTCTATGTCAACCGAAAGACTCAACAGCAAAAGAAGACAAAACCAACATCATCTACAAAATAAACTGTAACAACTGCGAAAAACACTACATCGGCCAAAGTGAACGGCCCCTTCGTCTTCGTATCCACGAACATAAGCTAGCCGTCAAAAGACATGATATCCACTCCCTCATTTCACTACACACAGACAACTACGGACATCAATTCGACTGGGACAACGTTCAAATATTAGACAAAGGAAATAACAAGAATGCTAGAGAATTTTTAGAAGCTTGGCATTCCAGTGGATCATCAATCAATAGACACATCGAGATAGACAAAAATTACCAACCAATAAGAAGGAAACCTCACACTCAAAGGGTCAAAGACCAAGTCAAGAAAACAACCGGTTCCAATACAAGTAACCTAGAAGGTGTGAAAACACACACAAACAACCAATCACGTTCGAGGTCACCAGGAGAGATGATTAATAAACTCGTGGAGAAATCTAAAAGTTCACTTCAAATTGAAGTATGCGTTGAAGATGTCACCCAGTAAGGTGATGAAAGCTTCGCAAACTAACCATCCAGCTCGGAGAACAAAACCACATCAAAAGCCTAGAACTTTAGATACCATATTGGTTAAGCTGATCCCTTTGTGATTATCACAGGAAGACTTGTGTCCCTTCTTGTATATTGAAATAATCAAGGACGTATATCAGCCCAACAGGACTATCTGTGATTCCCAGACGCTTCTAGTACCTTAGTTAACGCAGACAGTAAACTGTCTCCTCTGAAGTCATTCGATCAAGTTCCCGCTGCTTTGCCTCGCTTCAGACTAGTGATAGCTTTTGTAACCTTAGTTAAGGAAGGTGGACCTGTGTTTATATCCCACTCAAGGAGGTGTTGGATGCTGGGTAAGTTGAGCGTGGCTGTAGACCAGTTAAATTGTTCCTTAAAGTGTTCTTTCCGACTTTCTAGTCGTCTATCGTGGGAGCTAATTTTGGTGCCACTTTTCTCAGAGATTGCTTTATTTATCGTTTGCCGCCTGTTTTCCTGATAAGACCAGATAGTTGTCTGGTGTCACCTATCGCTAGTGCCTTTTCCATCGCTTTCGCTTCTGCCACCCATGCGGTCTGCTACTGATGGAAACCTGTGTATACGACGTCTTTCTCAAATCTTGCCAAATAAACGCATGAAATGCATGTGTTTATATGACAGTAGGGTTTTTATATCAGGGATAGGATCATTCACTGTTAACTTGCTATCTTTTTGTATTCAACTGCAAGGCTGAATTTTGTAATTCAATGTTTTTTCATTGGATACCTGTTTTTTATGAATGATGTTGGTTTGAACTCCCTCATAGTTGAAACTATTTCTTACTGTTTCCTTATTTTGGGCTAGGTAGCGGTCTCATTTGTTGGTCGTTTGCGGTTGGGGGATTCTAGCTATGCTCCTGAAAGTAATCACCCCCTTCGACAATGGTCTTCAGGTTTGATACACTTGGTTGACTCCCTGAATAGTTGTCATGATATATTATCTGGTGCAGCTGACGATAGCTTATTGGCAGCTGGTACTGCTAATTCACTGATGTCCGTTGACGATGCTGTTCAGTCTGTTTCTCAGTGTCTTCGTGCATCTTGTCGTATACTGAGAAAACCTGGTATAGTCGACAAAAGCGTGCACCAGGAAGTTAAGCCAATAATTAATTTAACAAAACTTTCAATTGTGTGTGACAATCTTGTCAAACGCATTCGGAAATTGTCCTCCACAAATATCGTATCTAAGATGTGCTGTGATACTCCAGACAGAGTAAGTTATTTCTTATTTTAAGAACAGCTATATGTAATATGTATGTGAATTGCTAACGCTTGTTTAGGTTTTAATACTTATAACTTAAATACATTATATGTTCTTCTGCATATTTCTTTTGACTCATTGCACACTTATTTTTGTATGCCACATATATGTGAAGTATGACCAGCACTTTAAGAATTAAAATATATTTAGAAAAGTTAACAATTGATGGTATTCAGAGGTAGAGTTACAGTTAAGGATGAATACTGAATGTGATATCATAGCAATATAAACAGAGAGAATTTATTGTAGGACAATTACACTTATTACTATGATGACAACAACAAACTGTAAATACATTTATCAAGGTAGATAAATATCTAAGTGTAGTTGAAAGGCTTTGTGAAATTAAGTTGTTGATACGCTTACTGGTCTTTGAAGTCGCTGTAAGTATGACTGATAAAAACCTTTTTGATAACGATTTAATTATTTATTATTATTATTGTTCCCTTGGGTTCCTAGTGGAAAATAGGGCTTCAACTTCACGTCTCCATTTGCTTCTGTCTTCTGCTGTACTTTTCACCTGCATCCATGTTAGTCCGTACTCTTTCAACTCCTCTTGACACGATCTCCTCCATGTCACCCTTGCACTGACGTCCCACTCGCCGCGTGCTTCGCTTTCGGCCTGGTTCCACTCGAGCAATGGCTTGACGCGCGATGTCACCCAGCGGCCTCCAGCCTCAGCGAGTGTCCGATCCATGTCCACTTTCTCCTGCATATTTGCTGTTGGTGGGCGATTGGTTCTTGTTTTATTTGTTTGTTCCCATAGTTTCTTGTTGGTGATTCTTTCCGGCCTGTGGCCATCTGATCTTCAGTATAGAGCGGGCGAAGATAGTTGTTAATAAAGGTCTTGTCTGCAGCAGGCTGTTGGAAATATTCTTTGTGACCCGCCCGCCCGTCAAGTTTCTGATCCGTATAGAAGAACTGACTGATTTGACGTTTGTATTGGAAATTCGAATTTTGTTGTTGATGCTGAGTGACGAAGATAACGATTTAAAGTGAGTTTTTTTTATTCCTCCGTTACTTACATCGTAAATCTACTAGAAATTACGTATACCGTGCTAATAGAGAAGAGTAATATGAAGATAACACAGAGATTGATTACTACACATGATATTTTATTATATTATTTATATATATATATATATATATATATATTAGTTTCTGGAATAAAAGCAAAATTCTGTCTGTCTGTCTGTCTGTCTGGATTCAACATAGAACTTGGCACCGAAGTGCAGCAGTTCGAGTTGCCACGTTCCAAATAGCACACAGAGGTAGACAAGAAGATGAGTGAAGAGAATCAATAAAGTTTGACAAGTATAAGAGTGAAACAGAATGGGTAATGGTAGAAAGGAATATGAAAGATTACAGAGACTGAATACATCTGCGCTAGCCATTGACAACGATTTTGAGCCATGTCACCTATTGTCTCCAGCCATTGATTCCTAGAGTCCTGAGGCCCCCAACCCGGAAGTCTGCATCTCCCTACCTGACTCAGTTTAACTGTCAAGGATTTCATGGATTGATGAGGCCATGTTTTTGTTTGGCCACCACTGGCTCTTTTCCAACCTTCACCTATATCAGTTAGCAATGCCCGTCGGGGGAGGCGGTGGTTAGGCATGCGCACCACGTGACCTAGCCATCTTAGTCTATGTAACTTTATAGCCTCGTCGATTGATTTTCCCTCTTTGCCGAACATTACTTACCTTATTAAACCACCTAACGTGAGACAGAGATCGCAGACATCTATGATCGAAAGTAGTCAACCTTTTCATGTCTTCAACTCGTATTGGCCATGTTTCAAAGCCATAGAGAAGGACGGAGCGAACTGCTGAGCAGTACACACGTCCCTTGGTTGATAACCGGATGTCAAAATTATTATTATTATTATTGATTACTCTACTAGGTCACTATGTATGTATTTATGATACGTTATGGTTTGCATTAACCTACACTGTAGTAGTACATTGTTATCTTATTTGCTTATACAACGTTAGAATGTTAGTGAAATCTCTAATGAACTATTGTAGTGTGTTCGGAAGAGAAAGAAAAAGCATTTCATCAGTGTTCTTCACATTGTTTTATATTAACTTATAAAGAATAAGATATCCAACTAGTGGAAGAATCTAATCTCGTAGTTTTAGCCTTTTTCGTAGCTTTGATTCACATATGAACAGTTTTGATAGTAATTGTTTTTATGGACAGAAATCAAGTAGTGATAAATACATATGGATACTGTTTTCTTCTTACGTCACAGTAGTCAAGTTTTTCACTATTTCATTTATTTATAAAAAGACTATGTGCTTCAAGTTTTTTATTTGTATCTTCTCTACAGCCCGCAATTGCAGGAGGAAGTGTTCGAGGCAGGGCAGCCTACAAACTGATACGCTTATTACTTGTAACAGAATCCGAGCGTCTGCGGAGTAATTCAGTTGAATTCAACAATTCAACTTCCAGTCCTGTTTTACAGAATAATGAATTGCCCAATAAGGACGACTGTTCAACTACACCGTTAAGTCAGCTGTCGAAGTCCGATACACCCACCACAGATGGTCGGACATGCAGATTACTTCAAATGTTCATATCACCGTCTACACCACTAGTAAATAATTTAAAGCCGGTTGTCAGAAATATTCCTTCTCCACAGGATCGAATGAATGATGAGAATGGTTTTGTCCCGATGGTATGTTCCAGTTATTGTTACACAATGCCAATGCATTTCTAAAAGCCTTATTCGATATTGATTGAAACTTGTAGACTGCCATTATTTAGTTTTCTGGGAGGGAATGGTCAGTCTCTGTTAACCCATAGGCTACTACCTCTTTTTGATGTTGACGTCTTCCTGACAAGAGTCAACACAGACCTTTTATTCCGCACTTAACGAGAACTTATCTAACTCAACGGACATTTCCAAATTCTCATTTATGGATTCAGAAAGAACAGCAGATTGAGCGAAGAAATATATTCCTTTTCAATTAGTTCTTCATCATCTGTTGGCTCTACATTAACATATATTTTTTACATCGAAATTTTTTTTACCAATCACCAGTTTTAGGTGTAGGCAGGTGAAATTAAGGTTATCAAAACAATTAACTAATTTGATGATATTAAATAGCTGAAGGCAATCACCAGAAAGCCTTGGACTTGGATTTCGTGCTAGTCGGCACTCGTCAGCAACGCGTATCTGCAACCTTGAAGGAACTCATGTCCCTTCTGAGATTGGAACCCGCGTCACCCAGTGCTGCAGTCAGAGAGGTTACCACTGAGCTATTCGGGCCCACGATTGTAGCGGGTATTTTGATTGGACACTAGTAACTAGTGTGACGTGTCTAGTTCTTTCTTTGGTGCAAACTAATAGGTGTTAGTGACAAGATATCTAATTTTTGAAGGAGGGAGATGTGAGAATTAATTACGGAATTCAAGATAGGTTAATTCTTGGGCGTTAGAAACAAGTTAATACATAATCAAAAAATTAGTAAGATAGTAATGACTAAGAAGAATTCATCTGAACAAGCCAAATCTGTGTGTTCAAAAGAAATTTGTACAGCCCCTATGTTTGCCATGCCCAACTACATAAGATGTATTAAGTTTTTAAAACGATATTTCCCCTCCCTCTGTAACCATCTTTTGAGTTTGTTAATTTTTACAATTCTAGCTAATTTTATTAACTTGTTTGTATTTTACGTAACTCTTCTTAGTCATCACTTCTATTTTACAAATTTCTTGATTATGTAATAACCTGTTTCCAATGCCTAAGAGTCAACTTATCTTAAATTCCGTAGTTAATTTTCACCTTTCCATCCTTCAAAACTTAGATATCTTGTTACTGACATGTATTAGTTAATTGTTTTGATGACCTTTAAACTCTGAATTTCAACCCCCCCTTCTGTACTTAAAACTGATGAACTAAAATAACCAGTTGATTAGTAAAACATATTGATGTAACACACTATATATTGGTGTAGAGCCAGCCGATGATGGAGAACTAATATAAAGGAATACATATTTCCTTCTCCAGTCTTGTGTTTTTTTAAAGTGATGTTCACCATTTACCTAAAGTTTCTGGGATATCTTATGCACCACACTCATTGGTGCATACGGTGTACGTTATCGATCTAAACTAGTCAAGTCGTAACAGGGTCATTTACATGATTGATTCATCCTGTAGTTGGTGCTGATTAACGTTTTTCTATGATTTATTTTGGTGTTAAATTTTAAGAGTGAAGCTTAATGCAAAAGCTCTGGACACCCGTTATAAGCTTGCTAACGTGCTGTTTAGCTGATTGTTCTGGTTATTAGTTTTTTTTCACTAGTCGGTAAATTTCACTTACTGATTGGAATAATAACAAGTTCACATCCATATAGTATGAATAGGGAGCTGTGTGAAATAATACGTCTTTTTACTCCAGTTGCTTAGCGATTCTTTTACTCCATCCAGTGGAACTGAGATGCACAAATAGTTTGAAACTAATGTGATGCCAAACTAAGTCTAAAAAATTTCCACCCTCAACTTTATTGACTTTGATAATCACCAAACATATAGTTGCATCATACTTCCTGAATTGAACATTGGCTTCATCTGCAATGTGCCACGCAAAGAGCGAGTGTGGCCGCTTGCGGCTTGAAAGAATGCTTCGCTAAAAACCACTGGGTTTCTGCGAGTTCCTTGCAACTCCTGGATGAACCCCAGTCCATTCCGACTGGCAGCGAATACAACAATAAACAAAAGGCGCTTACGTGCAAAATAAGACAGTGTTTACATAAGCACCGCGAAGCCTAGTGGTCAGAACGTGCGTGCCAGATAGAGTCAGCTGCTGCATCTGGCAACAGTCGAAAGCTGTTCCAACTCATTGGCAGCAAGAAACAAGGTGTCAGCGAGACGGTCTGTGAGGCAGATGACACGCCAATTACCAGCTTGAAAAGACTCCTGGAACGCTGGGTAGAGCACTTCGGGAAACAGTTTAGCTGGCCACCAGCTTCAGTGTCTGCTGTCATTAGCCCCAGTGCTCCTTGGTCGGTTAGTACTGACCCACCCACCGAAGCGCGGAGGTCCGTAAGGAACTTCAAGTGTTAAAACGCCATAAGGCACTCGGTCCAGACAATCTACCCCCGGCTCTTTTTAAAGATAGTGGCGAGATTCTCACAATGGCTCTAACTGGATTGTCCAGGAAGTTACGGGAGACTGAGAGTGTACCATCAATGTGGAACGAAGTCATTATCGTCCCTATCTTTAAAAAGGGTCGACGTAATTCGTGTGACAATCATAGGGGTATCAGTCTGCTACCAGTCGCGTCTAAAATATTGACTACTGTCTTGCTTCGCAGGCTGTGCAAAACACATATGGGGAGCTGATTCGCGAAGAGCAGACTGGGTTTCGTTCAGGTCGTGGATGCATTGATCTTGTATTCACCCTTCGTCAGTTGTTGGGACACCGCCACACGTATTGCAGGCCAACGATCGTTGTGTTTCTTGATATTAGGGCTGCCTTCGATTCATTGGACAGAACTGTACTCTAGAACTGTCTGTTAGAGAGAGGTGTACCTGAGAAATTTGTTAACATCTTGAAAGCCCTATACAGAAACACCTCGGGTAGAGTGAGGGCATACAACCAACTATCATCACTGTTCCCGACCAACAGTGGGGTTAGACAGGGTTGCCCAATCTCTCCATTTCTCTTTAACTATGCCATCGGTGACATTCTGGAGTCAGCTCTGAAGGATGTGCATGAAGGTAGTGTAGATCTGCTACCTGGAGATAGACTTTTCGACCTCGAGTATGCAGACGATATCGTCTTACTGTGCGATAGCATGCAGGCTGTCCAAATGGCACTTAATCAGTTGGCGGTCGTCGTCTGGAAGTATGGTATGTGCTTTGTGCCGTGTAAGTGCAAAGTACTGTTACAAGATTGGCAGGAGCCTGTACCTGCACTCACTGTCTCGGGTGAACCGCTTGAAGTTGTTGATAAGTTTGTGTATCTGGGTAGTTGCGTGAGTGCTAGCGGAGGGACGACGGATGAGATTTCCAACCGTATAATGAAGGTTAGGGTGGCATACATCAACTTGAGCCACCTCTGGCGCCGTCACGACGTTAGCCTGGCTGTCAAAGGTCAGATATACAATGCTTTGGTGCGGGATGTCTTGCTCTACGCCTGTGAAACCTGGCCTCTCCGAGTAAGCTGAGGATGTGCGGCGGCTCTTCGTGTTCGATCATCGCTGTCTCCGCAGGATTGTTTGCGTTCGATGGATGGCATCATCGTGTGAGTAATTCTGAGGTTCGGCGGCGTGTGTTTGAACACAGTGGAGATCACCATTCATTGAATGTTGTCGTCAACTGGAGACACCGGCTCCGGTGGCTTGGACATGTGTTGCGAATGTCACCCCAGAGGCTTCCGTACAGGTCTCTGTTCGCTAGCCCTGGGACGGGATGGAAAAGGCGGAGAGGTGGTCAGTCCATGACGTGACGTCGTGGGATGAAGGATTTTTGTGCTAGATTAGCATCGGTTGGTGTGTCACGACTCCCTGGTTGGGGTCCTCGAGAAGGCTCGAATCGATGGCTCGAAACGTTATCGGATATGGCCAAGAATCGTAATCAATGGCGAACGTGTTGCGATTTCCCTCTTTCTACTCTTCCCGATGATAGTTGACGAATACTGTTTGAACTTGTTAAGTATGACTGTTTTCCTTCCAGATGAAGTTCTTTATCTGTTCTCTACTTATATTTTTTTAAATTTTGATCCATGTTGTTTTACTATTATTGTATGGCGTATCATTCTTGGTGCCATATTGTACCAAGTTTTTTATGTGTTTAAATAAATAAATAATACCCGAATTACAGAATGCTACACTGGCTGTTTTCAAACTGAGCTTGAAAGCAGACATTCATAACCAAATTGTTACAGACCGTACTCCAGGTGCACTGGAAGAGTACACTCGCCATTGGCATGTGATGAAACTTTTTCGTATGTGCATCAACAACCATATATTTAAGGTGAATACTCCACTTTTTTATTTTCCTGGAGAATTATAAGATTGTTTTTTTTTACCTATTTTACACCAATATTCTTTTTCAATATTATATAGCCTAAAAGAATTGTTATGTCGCGCTACCAGTCTAATCTAGAATGGGTCAGTAGTCATTGTTCACCATTGGTTATGCATTCTTTTTCTATTGATGAAGCGAAGTCATTGCCATGTTGGAATATACTGAATGAAGATTCACAGTCGAATGCATCTTTTACTAAAGAAGACAAGGACTTAAAGTGAGTGTTGCATTGAGTCTCTTTTCTTTCACTGAATAAATACTTAAGTGTAATACACATGCTACTCAACTGACTGACTGACTGAATTCTCAACATTGAATCTTGCACAAAAGTGCAGCTGTTGTGACATTTCATAAATAGATACAGTACATGTTGAAAAGGAAGAAAGATATACAATAAATTATAATAGATGGAGATTTACAGGAAAACAATGATTATATTGAGAACGATGAGGATTTAAACAATCTGGAAGGTCGCATTGAGTGAACGCATCTGCTCCATTGGGAACTATTTGAAATAGTGTTACCAGCAGTCTCTGATCACAAAATTTCAGCATTCCGACTATCCCAATCAGACAGTCTGCATCTCCCTATGTGACTAGCTCAAACTGACAGTCACTGGCTTCATGTAGTGATGCCATGTTTTAACCTTACCACCTCTAACCCTGTTCCAACTTAATTTTATATCAGCTAGCACTGCTCGACAACGAAATCAATTGTGCTGCACGTGTAACACAAATCCTAGACATATCAATCGATACGAAATTCACAACTTTAGCAGTTGACTTTCTCTCCTTACTTCACATTTGACGTTCAACCTCACTGTTATTGACCATATTATGGCACCTAACAGGAGAGACCAGAACACAGAGTGAAAGTAGGCGAATAGAGTTTCATGAGATACTGTCATGATGAATACCTAGTCTTCCTATCATTCTAAGTCATGTCGTTAATTTTGACTAAGATAATTGTTTACCTACAACAGAAGTTTGAGATGTTTGGTCAGTCTATGTAAGCGGACTGCATAGATTATAAGAAGAGTCATTGACTGCAATAATTAATCCTGCTCTTGATCTTGTTGTTCTCAGTTGTTTTGCAACAGTTGATATTGTTTTTTAGTGGCTTTGCGGGAACGTTTCACAGTCACCTCATTTAATGCAGTTTCACGACCTAAAATATGCTGTTTAGCGTAAATATTTTCATCCTTAGGCTGTCTACAGATTCTGTGACATTTAGTAGTGTCCAACAATAGAGCTTTTGGCAACAGAACTTATCTGTTGAACATTAGTTGCAGTAAGAAGTAAGGCTACAGATTTGTCTCTCAGCAGATTTAATTCATATCTTCTAACTAACATTGTGGATTAATTTGAAATCTCTAGTTCAGACGTCTGATAGAAATCAAATAATTTTGAGAGGTGTTGTTTGTCTTTCAAGTCTCCTCTTCTGGAAATAAACTGCTGATGTGCCTTTTTCGGCTATGGGACAATAGTCTGTATCACCTTTGATCCTAATCTTTTTCATTATTTCACGGTCGTTTACTCCCCATCACTCGGTGCACAGAATTGTTGCCGACCAGCGTCTTGGTTGATTTCATCTGTAATTAAGCTTGAAACATGTTGAAATGCGTTCGTTTGCTGCCAGCCAAAAGCAACTTTTACCGTTTTTACACAACTTTATCTTCAGAATCTTTTACTTTAGTACCTGTTTAGACAAATCTTGAGTTTAGGTGAGTTTTTCAGTCTCACGCTCTTCGTATATTAACGTGAGGATGTGTTTACGAGGGAATCTTTGTCAATATCAACAGTATTTTTGAAGTTGTTTTGTACTTTGTTTAGCGTTAGCACAATTATTTCAGGCGTTAATGATTTCATTATGGTTTTCCCACCTAATTAGAAGGAAACATATTCTATTTTCAAATTAGATTTCATGATATTTTCTCGTGTGGTATGCTGTTTGTTCATGTCTTAGTACCAATTGCTGTTTCGAATTGTCCATTTGATTTCCAGCAGTGGTTATTCTGAACCTGGGACACCAACGACATTATTCAGAAAAGAAAACAGACGATCGAGGGCCTTATTCACAGAAGAAAATTCTGAGAGTGGTAAGGTGGCTGAATATTCAACGCATGTCTGTTTCGTCTTTAGTCATCATTTACTTATGCCGTGCTTATATGTCCACATAATATAGTTTTTGTATTTGCGTTTGTAGGGATTCTTTTATTTTGCCTCAGATAGGTTGTTTATTACAAAAATTGTTGGTCAACATCGAATTACTCTAATTTGGTGTAATCACTAAATTAATTTACTTCTCAGCTCACTACTTAGTATATCAGTTTATTCTAACTATGCTTAAGTAAGTTAGTAGAAATTCTATTGATGCAGGAGAATTGGATTCATATCTGATATGGTGCAGTAACTCAAAAACAGGAGACAATTCAATTCACTTATGCACCGGAATGTCAGGAAGAGGAGCTTCCAATGTTAGATTGCAGTGTAAAAGGGAAAGAAGATGGGAAGTTAAACACTAGTGTTTACAGAAAACCCACAAATTCAAGCAGATATTTGGACTTCCGATCATCCCATCCAATGTCAGTGAAAATAGGATTGATGACATGTTTAAGTGACAGAGCACAAAAACTAAGTAGTACCAAGGAAAATCTGAGACAGGAAGTGAGGCTTGTAGGAGAAGATTTGAAACTTAATAATTACTTTGATAAATTAATCAGAAAGCATGTAGGGAAATGTTAAAATAAAATAATAATAGTAGTAGTGACAGCGATAACAGTAATAGTATTATTAATGACTACATGCATGTCAAACATGCACAGGACGACGACAACACCAACAATAAGGAATCGAAATCATCAGTAGTACCCTATACAAAGAAGAAACCTCGGAAACCTTACGCAGAATTCTTAAAAAGGCAGGAATAAAAGTGGCTGGCATTCAAACCAACCACAAACTCAATTAGAAACATGCTTTGTCGGTTAAAGGATCCTGTGGAGCCTTTAAAACAAAACAATTTAGTTTGTCTAATATCCTGCAATGACTGTCAGGTCAAATACATAGGTCAGTCAGACTGGCAGAGCACAAAAACCTAGCGAAATCTAGATTAGTTCACCCGAATTATATAAGAAATCTGGAGAATAGTTCAACAGTAAACAGGGGTACATGCAATTACACACAACCATACAATAGGATAGGATAAGATGACAGCTTTAAAATATAATGTTATAGGGTGGAGGGAGAGACTAACGGCAACAGAAGGTAAATAGTCCCCATCGTAAGGAATACTTTTTTGTGTACACTTGTAAGTGCATATACGCAAACGAGAGTGAAAGAAATGGGCGATTGTAGAACACTGCTAAGAGATGGAGTGGTGCACACCGCCATAATGGAATAAACTGACTTCGCAGTGTTAATTTGATTAATACATTGACATTTTGTTATCTGATAGCCACTTGTATACACATGGAGTTGTTGTTGTACTGGATCTCTTGCCTAAGTGTTGATGGTAATTCCTATCTGTTGAATCCTCGGTGGTTGTGGATAGTTTTCAACTAAGTGACTTAGTCGTTAGAAGCAAATCACTGGGACTGATAATTCACAGCTCTACTTAAAACAGAGACATGAAATTCTGACCAGGTTGCATTTTAATCTTGGTTCTTAAGGGAAACTGTGGTGAAATTTCACCTCCGACCGAGTAAATTACTAATTAATTTGCCAGTTTACGAGTTCGGTTGAAGTCGGTTAGCTTTCTGTCTGTCTGTCTGGATTCAACATAGAACTTGGCACCGAAGTGCAGCAGTTCGTGTTGCCACGTTCCAAATAGCACACAGAGGTAGACAAGAAGATGAGTGAAGAGAATCAATAGAGTTTGACAAGTATAAGAGTGAAACAGAATGGGTAATGGTAGAAAGGAATATGAAAGATTACAGAGACTGAATACATCTGCCCTGGCCATTGACAACGATTTTGAGCCATGTCACCTATTGTCTCCAGCCATTGACTCCTAGAGTCCCGAGGCCCCCAACCCGGGAGTCTGCATCTCCCTACCTGACTCAGTTTAACTGTCAAGGATTTCATGGATTGATGAGGCCATGTTTTTGTTTGGCCACCACTGGCTCTTTTCCAACCTTCACCTATATCAGTTAGCAATGCCCGTCGGGGGAGGCGGTGGTTAGGCATGCGCAGCACGTGACCTAGCCATCTTAGTCTATGTAACTTTATAGCCTCGTCGATTGATTTTCCCTCTTTGCCCAACACTCTACGCCTAACGTCAACATTACTTACCTTATTAAACCACCTAACGTGAGACAGAGATCGCAGACATCTATGATCGAAAGCAGTCAACCTTTTCATGTCTTCAACTCGTACTGGCCATGTTTCAGAGCCATAGAGAAGGACGGAGCGAACTGCTGAGCAGTACACACGTCCCTTGGTTGATAACCGGATGTCACGCCTACGCCAGAGATGGTGTAAGTCAGCGAAAGCAGCTCGAGCTTTTCGGATCCGTGCTGAGATTTCATCGCCAATCATCAGTCCGTTGGTGCTAATACAACTTCCCAAATAGGTGAAGTGGTCAACATGTTCTATCACTTCACTCCCTATCACTAAGTTAGGAGTTGACGTGGTCCAGTCCTGTAGCAGCATCTTACATTTTGTAGGGGCGAATCGCATGCCAAACATACGGAGATTGCTGCTCAAAGTGTTCAGAAGACTCTGCATTTTGTCAGCATCCTCCCCTAACAGGACTATGTCATCTGCATATTCTAAGTCCATAAGACTATTCCCTGGTAACAAGTCGATTCCTAAGTCATTACGTTCAGTTAAGGATACTTCCATCAGCATATCTATGATGAAGTTAAACAGAAATGGGGAAAGTGGACATCCCTGTCGGACACCACTGGTTGTTACCAATTCAGATGACAATTCCCCATAAGCCCTTACACGACTACGTGAGTTTGAATAGAGTGCCTTGATTTGTGCAATGTACTTTCTTGGCACTCCCTTCACAGTCAGACATTGCCATAGTACCTTTCGATCCACGGAGTCGAAGGCCGCCTTCAAGCCAAGAAATATGACAATTGTTGGACGCCGAAAAGTGTGTCTATATTCTAGAATCTGTCAAAGAGTAAAGATATGATCTATGCACCCTCTACCTGGTCTAAAGCCTGCTTGATTTTCCCTTGTCTGTTCCTCCTGAGTTCTGCTTAGTCTATGCATGATTATTGAGCCTAGGATTTTAGAGACTATGTTCGTTAGGCTGATCCCCCTATGATTATCACACGAGGACTTGTTTCCCTTCTTGAATATCGGTATAATAAGTGACTTACCCCAGTCTGATGGCACTGTCTCTGATTCCCAGACGTTGCCTAGTACCTCAGTTAATCTACAAACTAGTATGTCACCCCCATATTTAAACACCTCCGGAATAATTCTGTCGGGGCCTGCCGCTTTGCCTCGTTTCAAGTTACTGATAGCTTTTGTGACCTCACTTACAGACGGCGGACCAGTGTCTATATTCCATTCGGGTGTGTTCTGGATGTCGGGGAGGTTCAGTGTGGCTGTAGGTAAGTTAAATTGTCCCTCAAAGTGTTCTTTCCAGCGTTCAAGGCGTCTATCCTGAGAGCTAATTATGTTGCCATTTTTCTCAGAAATAGTCTCACTTATGATTTGCCTTCTCCCACCCGTTTCCCTGATGAGTCTAAAGAGTTGCCTAGTGTTGCCTATCGTCGATGCTTTTTCCATCTCTTTTGCCTTTGTCAGCCACCACTGTTCACGGTCCTTTCGGAGACTTTTAGTAAGTTTCCTTTTGTGCAGCTTTCGCTCCTCATTGAATTCGGAGCTCGCCGGAATAAGTCTTCTAGCATCTATCAGTTCGGATGAGGCAGTCGAAATCCAGTGGATTTTACTCACCTTTGGATTTGCCTTATTCACAGCTTTTACAGCTGTATCTATAGCTGACTGAATATTCTTCCAGGCTTCTTCAGGGTGAGCACAGCTGTCGAACTCAGATATGCGTTTAGCTAGTTCTTCCTCGAATAGGGATTTAGTTTCCTGATCGAGCTGGGGACGTGATGGTTTACCGTCAGCTGTTTCCTACGTCCGTTCAGTCGTAAGCACACACGAGCCCGGACCAGTGCGTGGTCGGTATCTACACACGTGTTCCAGAAGGAGCGACAATCTCCTACCGACCCACATCAACGATAGCTTATTGCTATGTGGTCTATTTGTGTCCAGCGTTGGTTTGATGATGGGGGTCGCCAGGTTAAACAGTGTCTCTCCTTGTGTTTAAAGTTAGTGCTTACGAGAAACAAATGATTATCAGAGCAGAAATGTAGGAGACGGTCACCGTTGTCGGTTCGCTGGCACGGGACTCCATAGGTGCCACCGACATCCTTCTCAGATTGACACAATTTCCCTACTTGAGCATTAAAGTCACCAGCTAGAACGACTATATCTGAGCGTCTAGCCTTTCGCAGAAAACTAGACAGCTTTTGGTAGAACTCATCCTTCGTTTCATCCGAACTGCAGTCAGTGGGGGCGTAGGCGGAGATTACGAAAAGGCATCGGCGAGTAGTGCAGTCTTTTCTCCTTCCTACTGATCCGTTCAGACGGACAGCACACATTCGGCTATCTACTGGGATCCAGTCAAGTAATGTCTTTTCTGCCCTAGTACTCAAAGCTATCCCTACACCAGCTAATCCTCGTGAACTGGCTGTGGCATCTCCTGACACCCTCAAAGTGTATTTTGCAGATTTATCCTGTTGGCCAGGTGGGGTTAGGTGAATAACCACACTTGGGTCTTGTATGCGTGTTTCTGAAACACAACATACATCAATGGCTCGGGATGCCAGGGTCTTAGCTAGTGATGCTTGTTGTCCTATTTGGCAAAGTGTCCTAACATTAAATGCTCCTATATGAAATTGGTGGCGTGGCTTTAGGAGACTATCGGTGGTGGTTTTTTGGCTTCCGTCGTTTTTAGTGGACACAGAGTGAAGAGGGAGTGAGGAGCCATCAAGTAGCGGAGTTGCATCAGTGGGAGGAAGGCAAGGTAATAGAGATGAAGATGAAGACAAAGATAAGTGAGGATTAGAGAGGTTTTGTGTGTATTTCGGATTGTGAGGGCGTTTGTTACTTCCCGACTGCCCACACCGTGGAAGTTGGTTGCGTGACCGCAGAGCCCAGGGGACAACTGCTTGAGGCCGGTCACACGCGGCCTGTTTTTGTTTGTTCTCTTTTGTTTGGTGTGCCTCAGTAGCATACTTATCACTCCTGCCCTGTGACACGGCAGCAGGAAGCGCGGTCGTTGTTAATCCGGGCCACGGCCGATCCGGCATGAAATTTTGTGAATTTGTTTGAATCATGGTATTGGATGGGGTAGCTGCTTTTTGTTTAACCGCTATCCAAACAACCTGCCTGGCATGGTAGAACCTCAAGAGATATAAGTCTCAGCCAGTATAGCTTGATTAGGTCATTGCGTTGTTCAAGCCCGACCACCACGTCAAGGTAGCAGCTTTCGGTCGGGTTAGCTTTCTGGTAAATGTTGACAACTCCTCATTTATTCAGTTATGTAGTATTAATATACTTATCATCTTCTAACTATTTGATTAATGTGTATGAAAATACTGTGTTGTAACTGTTTTAGATTGTTTGTTTGCAGTTGTTTTTTTTAATAAGAATTGATGAAATAAACTAACATCATGTTGTCCTGCTGAACTTGTTGGTCAAGTTCATCAAGAGGAAGAATTTTATACTTTTCTGTTTAACTTTTTTTTAAATGTAGATGCTAAAACGGCACAGTGCAACACACTTTTCAACAGTAAGGTGACTTCTAATCAAATAGCGAAAAGCGGAGGTAAACAGAATACTAAGAAGTTAACAAATCCAAAGAGACGCTCGAAAACTGTTCTACGCACTGTTTCTTCAAATAAACAGCGATCTCTGTTAGAATTTTTCAAATCATAGATTAATTTTTTTTAAAGATTTTATAATGTGATTAAATGCGTCTGTCATTAAGTACCTTTATGATTGTACTTTTGTGAATGACAATTTTCACTGCTTTGGTGTCTTTCTATCTTGTCATACTTTAATTTTATGTCTTCGATGTATTTGTATCACATCTCACGCTGTGTTATCCGTAATTTCCTTCTTGTTTTATCGTTAATATGCATTTATATTAGGAATGTGAATAAAATATGTAAATAAATATGTAAAACTACAATAATGAAACGAAATACTTTGTTATTTTTATGATTATTCGACGAAAAGCTCATAGAATTCTGGTAAGAAAATATAATAACCAAACGGTGCGTAGACAATTGCAGTAAAAATTATGGCCACTAGACAATGAAACAGCGATGAATATAGGCGAAAGTGTTGACCTTGTATAGTGATTTGTCGGGGTGTTCTTTAACTATATAGTTGTAACAACGGAAGACAAGGGCCAGACAACAGATCGTTTTATTATGAAAATCAACACGTATTTATACATATTTCACATACATTATTATAGACAAGCGCAGTCATCTGATTGGTTGTTTCGGGATTCCTCGACAAATAGAGTTCTCTATCTGCGAATCATATTTTGCCACGTTAACTTTGCTGTGATTGGTTGTTGAATCAGCCTTGCTCATATTTTCTCACGGCCTGCTCTCACCACATAGTTTACTTCTTTGAAAAGTAGTCCCATCCAACTAAGGTTTCCTGTTTATCAACCTTCTTTAGCAATGCGTTTATCGAAGCTTTAAAAAAATCATGTTATTCCTGAGGTTAGAATTTGTGTCAAAACCTACCACTGTTGACTAACTTTCAAGCGAGATACTTAACATCCTCCAACTGATTTCAGTGGAAATTCTAACCGGTTAAAAGAAATACCTCTGACTTGTAAGAGTAAAGGTAGGATGTCTTTTGACTTGGATAAACGGCTCGACTGACTTGCATCATAAAGGAAATGGAGATTGGTTGGGGGGCATACGCTAAGGAGTCCATTGGGTGAAATCACGCGTCAGGCCCTTAGTCGGAAAGCGAAGAGTAGGCCGTCTGAGGCTGACATGGAAGAATTCATATGAAGAGAAATCAAAGCCTGAGAACGATCATGCAGCATGCTAAAAATACGATAGGAAACCGAATGCAATGAACAGGTACTTCCAAAGTCGTATGTCCTACTCAGAATCCAAGGGATGAGCAGGAATAATGTGAGGATCTGGAAAAATGTAGTACCACAAGCACTCAAAACAGTACGATTGTATTCTGGACAATTATATTATTTCTTTTAACGTAATTTAGTTAATTGTGTGAAAATACTGTCCGATTATTAGTAATTACACAATCATTAGGAGTTTTACATTCTAAAGCAGAAGACAAAAAATGAGTCTTAGAGGAAAAATAGGCTGATCAAAATGAAGCCATAGGTAATCTGTTTTTTCTTAAAAAGTCGGATATTATTTAAGTATAATATTCAAGTTAGATTGATATACTACGACAAACAAGTATTCGCGTAGGTCGCCTCTGCAAATTCTTTAATCCCAGAAGGCTTAAGCATGGATTGGATGAGATTGTAAACATGTAATCAGCCCTTGAGGTTTCATTTCATTCTGACAGATACGATGCACAGTGACAAATAGTGGGAAATGTGTCGTGCGGCGTCTAGCAACTAATATGTTGTAGATCTTACAAATTCGGTAAAAAAAAATAAAGCCAAGTTAAGAAGGCATAAAATTTACTCAAAATAATAGGAAAGATCAAAACCTCAGACTATGCCTGTGAACATCAACACCAATGACAGCTAGACACTAAAACTGTCTATTCTTCACTAGATCACTATATTCATGAATGAGTAGTGTCACTGGATTTCAGAAGAGTTAATCTCAGTATTAACCGCTCATTATAAATATCACTGAAGTACCTTGTACTTGTGACTAGCGCTCCCACAACCGATTTAACGTCATAAAGAAAACAGCTAATTATTACATATCTGGAAGGTACTGGGTTCGAAACCCGGTGGGTGCGTACTGCAGATGAGAACTAGACTAGGACGAAACAGCTGCCCAGTACTTCGTGGTGTTCAATGGCTGTCTAACTGGTGTCAAGACTTGAAACAAGTCAAATCCTAACAAACAAACTCTTGAAGATTTAAAAGTCAATCTGAACGAAGAATACTCTTTTCAATAATTTATTAGTGATATTATCTCTTTTCTCAATATATGCCTCCACCTGTTTCATTTCACATTCGTTATTTCATTATGAACCTCTCATTGCAGTCTTACTGTCTCCTGTTCAACTCAGACTACTTTGTACTAGCCACTCACCTGACACCTTTTATAACCTTCAACTGACTTATTTGTCAATTTTCATACCCCATACTCTACAAATCTATTATGATTAATCACCATCATTGTCTCCCGTTTTACAATATTTTCTAGTTGATTTCAGCCTAGCACGTTTGTCACACTCAAATACGACCATTTATTTTGACACCCCTTTTCTTAAACACACTGGGATTATTTTAAATAATTTATAATGATTCAATCTGACTCAGAGCTCAAATTATTCCAGGAAATTTTTAACATCTGCGATCTGGAAACGTAGGATCGTAATTATATTTAACAAATTCATTAGACCAATCAGATACTGAACAAAACTTATCCTCGAAAAATGCATTACGTAATGTAAGGTGTAACCTAGAAGGAATGACTAATTGGAAGTTAGAGAAGAGGCAGAAATTGACATAACGTGATAAGTGTGAGGCAATGACTAATCAATAAACTCGTGTAGAATGGGCAGGAGCTAGTGGAAGGACGATAAAGTGTTTTTAACATAAAATCTGTATTAAAACGCGATGTTATTGATAAACAGTAATAGAATGGTAGCAAAAATATGGATTTGCAATTAATACTGTTCTCTGAGCTTGTTGGTTTAGTTGTGGAGCAAATCTATTATTATGCATTATTATTATTGTCTCCATTATTTCAAAAAAAAATGGATGATGAGAATAATAGTGATAATAAAATAATAGCTGCAATAACAATAATATAATTACGATAGTACAGCGTATGCAAATGATTCGTCGGAAAAAAACATTTTCTTCGCTGTTTACGCCTTTTTCTTATGACTCAGTATGGGAATATTTCGTTCATTAATGAATTTTAGAAGTGTACTGGTTATAACCAGTTAAGAATCCACGAAATAATAAAAAGAGTTTAGATTATCCTGGTACATTTATCGTTCTTGCCTTTGCGTCGGTGGCACAGTGGTTAGGACTCTCGCCGACCATGCACATGGTCCGGGGTTCGAGCCCACGCCGGCGCACACCTGATATCTATGGTCGGCCTGCGAAATTTGGGCTACCGATATCCATGCTGAAAATTCCTTCCAAAAAAAAAAAAAAAAAAAATCTAATTCAAATTTATTAATGGGAAGAATTGTCTGATGTGATTTTTAAGAGACTAAAAAGTTCACGATAGACCGATAAACACCTTTTGATGGTGGCTAAAAGCTTGATTCAACTTGATTACTATACCGTACGCTGTTATTTTACCCGGCCATTATGTCCCTAGTAGAATGAAGTACGTGATGTGAATTCCGCTGTAAGCCATTAGTGAGTAATTTTTCAGAAAGAAATAAGCAAGACTCGAGTAAAATGAATTAATAAATCTTAGAGTCATAAATGATCAGTGATGTAAGAATGTTTCCATGTACCGAGTTGTGAAGAATTTAGAAAATATTACCTAAATAAAATGATCATATTACCTGTTTTGCATATTCCACTCCGTCTACAAATATTCTGTGCAGATCTTTAGAGGAAACTGGATACAAGGAAGACTTAACTGTATCACTTAAAGAAAGCCTTCTTCCATAGGTGATGTTCAAAATATCTAAATCTGCTCCAATATCCGGGATTTCGTCTGATCTATATGACATACCTAGCAAAACAATAAAATTAAGGAGTAGATCATTTATCCACACTTGACTTTTTGTAACACTGCAATATTACCAATTCATTCTTAACAAATTGACTTTATCAATTAGTAATGAAACTCATTGCACAATACGAATAGCAAAATTATTGACATGTTGATATCAAATATTCAAGCAGCCTCAATAAGGTAGTCATAAATTCCAACGAAAATTATACCGGTTGTCTGTCAGAAAATATTGTTTAAACTCGACATTTACCAAAGAGTATGTGTATGTTTCCTGTATAACCATATGAAAATAAAACACTGTAGGATACTGTAAACCATAAACATGTCCCATAGAAACGATTGATTTGAGTATATCACTTGTATAGCAAAGTGGGTTTTAAGGGTCTTGTGCTACTTCATTACAGCTAAATCCGACTGACTTATCAACGCGAAACTTTGCACAAAATGCATCAACCGGTAGAACCTCACAACCTCATCGACTGACTTTCTCTGTTTACCTAACTGTACTGATCACATTACTCCGTCTTTATGGCACAGCATAAGCTGCATTAATATTCATTCCGACCAATGTATCCCGTTGGTTTATCGTGATAGGCAAGCTTCATGACCACATAAAGACAGAAGCTACTTATTGAGCGAAATTGAATATCTATTCAAGAACAAAATCGACACAGTACACATGAGTATATCAGTGTAGAGGCTGAAAGAAGAATGATTAATGAAACTGTTTAACGAAAATCAGATAAATAAGTCGACTATAAATGTGTTACAGTAACCTATTTAACAAGATCTAGACTGAAATTGGGTGTAAATGTATCTGTACCACTACCATCTTCATCATAAACTGACTGGCTTATCATTCAAATCTTACACCACATAACTTCAATCGTCTATGTATGTTAGAAACTGCCTGGCTTTTTCTTTCATTATCCAGTCAACTATGATGCAAAATATTTGCGTGCACTTTAGACATCGCATGCCATTTAAATTCTCCATGGAGCATAAAAGTAAATAATTTCTGAATTTTTGACTACTCATAAGTAGGCGTACAGTAAGAAACGAAAATAGATGGTTGGAGCACAGTTCAACTGCAGCAAAAATACCATGAATCAAGATTGGTCATAAGTGTGTTTGTGCGTACTACAAAAGATAGTAAATACAGTTAGAATTGATGATTATCAGATGATAAAGTCACTGAGGTAGCTGTAAATTACTCTAGAGTTTTTCATGCCAAGGATATATTTTGTCATTTACACTTATAGAGAGAAGTTGATGATTAATTGTATCTTAGTGCATTCCTAGTTTTTCGATTATCAGTGCAAGGAAAGCAGAAGACTTCACCACATTATCGTAATGAATGGTCAGCTTACTACTTTTCACGGAAAATTGGGTCACTTAAAATTCATACAATTAGAAAAAAGGAAAAGTATCTCAGGAAAATGTGATAATCCATCAGTGGATAGAGATGTGTGGGACACAGAATAGCCTAAATGAAATTTCTTTGTGATATCCTCATTAGTCGTCGGCCACTGGCTCTTAGCATCACCAACCATCTATCGTAGACAAGCAGTCACAGGCTAATGTACCATTGCTGTATTCTGCTTCACTGAGCCTCAAATCCTCTGGTAAACCAACCATTCACGTGCAAAACACTTGAGCAATCAATATATCTTTCACTCTATAAGAGATTTACTAAACAGCTTTGCATCTGACTTTTGGACTATAAGGAAAAGCCAGCTGAATATTTAATCACTGCTTTGCAAATATTATCCTGCGGTCATCGTAATAATCATTTAAATATTTGAGTCTGCCAGTCATCTTTCATGATCACTTTAAAGTTTATAATGAAAGTATGTGGTACATGCTATTATGACAGTCTGTATCCATAAACCAAAGTCAGTACGTTTCATAGTTGGTTCCTACCACCTCAACACGATGTACTACATGCATTATGCGTTGGAAAGACAGTGTTTCAAATTATCTAGATTAAAATATAGTGTCATTTCTTTAAATACTAATTATGAATACCCTGAAAACATTTTCCCGCTGAGTATCAAGTCACACCATCTTGTATACCATAGTTCTTTTTTTCAAATAAATAATGGAAAATTATTGGTAAACTATTTAGAACCCAAAGTCTTCAGTTTGAGCATAATCACACAAGGTTGGGTAGTGTAACATGTTTATCTTGCAGAACTGATCCGCTTGGAGATTTTCCTCTATAGTCGATGTTAATCGATGAAGCAACAGAAATCAGACGGTGCAATCAATACATCACACCTTTACTTAGACAAATGCGTCTATTTAAGAGGTGTAAATTGACTCTTTCAGGTTTCTCAATATCACGTTAACGTTAAGATGTTGGACTGGAATTCACTGCAATCAACACCTGAAAAGTGTGACCATTTTTATGACGCTAAATACGAAAATGTAGGCTGTTAACTAGCTTTAAGACCACTGAATTCTTTTTCTCCATTGAAGGTCAACACAAAAGCTTCATTTTACTTGTGAATATGAAAAGAGATCACTAAAGCCAGAGATATTCGCTTATCGTATTGATTTTCCACTAACGAGTACAATCTGTTTATCATAGAGACTACATCAAAATTAAGCCTCCGTCAGTCACTAAGTTAATCCTGAAACAAAAATCTATCGAGAAGTTAAGCACGCAGTAATCAGGTTAACGCATAAAAACGAATGACAAATCTGCACATTCAGGCAGATTAGGTTAGACTGGATGTTGAAGTTCGTTTAACTGATTCAAGTGCTGTTAACATATACACATAATGGAATTCGATAAAACTAATGCAGTTTAAATCCTACTGATCGATCATGTCCTGATCAAATGAAAACCATTCAGTTTGCAGTAATCAAAGAATTAGTTGTAATTCATTCAATATAAAGTAATTGTAACACTTTTAACTCATTTAGTTACAATGACTGATTTATAAGCCAACTCATCCTTATAGCAGAAAAGTTGACTTTCCTATTATTGTTAGTTCGGAAATAAAATCACCAATTTTTCTCTTTTTTAACACATTGAACAACTTACACATAAATAATTCAGCTATTCCACAACTTTGTTCAATTGTTAAATAATTTATACCTGCATTTATTAGAAAGTAAATAAGTAACAATAAAAGTAGTGTTAGTATTTCTTTTTCAAAAAAATAATCTAATATTCAATCAATTCAACAAGTTTCAATGTTCACTTATGATCAGTGAACTTGACAGAGATGGTTTAATTGTTATTTATTGATCAACCAATTTCTGCCCATTTTCTAATGCATGCTGACTCGCAGTTGAGATGAGACCTTCCCAAATGGCTGATTTTATGTATTCTAAACAGCTATGTATACTTAATTCATATGAAAGTTGAAGTAAGCAGATAGTGGCTGAAGTTAATCAGTGAAGCCTCTCGTGCATCTAGTTAGTAGTATAGAAGCTCCAGGAAAAGATCTATCATCAGCTTTCAGTCTAATTTTAACTATCCTTTCTGACTATAAGGAGGTTCACTCTGAAAACCAGTACTATATGCGAAAATCTAACTTATACTTTAAAACGTATTTAACAATATGAAGGAAATTAACGAGAGGCACGTATTAGAACACTTTGAAGTTTAACAACATTGTAGAAATCCGTTGTTTCCATGAGATCTGAAATATTGCTGTCTGCTTTCATAGTCATCACAGAGATTATAGTTCACAATTAAAGACAGTCTACAGAGTCAAACTAGACGGACAGGTCATGTCCTGAGCATATTCGAAGATATCACCTGGTAGTTGATATAATGAACGCTAAACTAGGAATCAAATTATCAATTATCATCAGTTAGTAGACTTTGGAATAGCGTTATTAAAAGAAAGAGTTTATCCAAAATATGTGGTGTATTGGGGCAGTTGCATTTCGAACAGTTTGATAACACATTTACTTGTCAAATCAGATTTTCACGAAAAACGAAAAGCCAACAAAAATAAACAAAATAATAAGAGATTTAAAAATATGAGGGGAAATAATTAGCACAACTTTTGGTAATGTAATCACGACAGTTTAAAGGTAATTTATTATTACCTTTAAACACGCGTATAGCTACCGCCTCTGCTTATCTCAGTAAACACCCGTGATTGCTTTCATACATAATCTTGAAAGACTACAACTATTCAGGCCGTATATATTACCGATTTCCTATAATAATTTGAGCGCTGAGTCAGACTAAACCATTAAAAAGTACTCAAAATGATCGCAGAGTGTTCATCAAATCAAAACAAGATAATTTTTTTAAAGGTTTCGGTTTCTAAGCCACAACTTGTTGGGTGGAATTACTCAGATTTTATTCATCATCAAAACAGATGGTCAAAAATTATATAAACTGAAGTGAAGTTTTTTTACTGTGTGTTTTGATACTTAGAAAAACCTAAGTATTTCTGCCGAAGAAGTTGTGGCTTGCACTGCGAAACATCCAGAAAAATCTTTTATCTCGATTTTTAACACACTCCGAGGTCAGTTAAAGTAATTTTATAACCTTGAAAAAACGTTTTGATATCAATCTTGTGATTCATATCAGTGAAATGTTTTGCTATAAACAAGGTTGGTATTGTGTCACCCATGTTCATCAAGGTCTTACAGTTCAGTTGTTGCTCAGCCAATCTGTGTATATGTCCTCCCATCCTCAAGTGCAAAGCGGGATTACTTTTCTATAAGTATTTATGATGTCAAACAATTATAAATTGGTATATAATCGGTAAGTAAATTGTGCGTCGGTGGTACAGCGGTGGTGGTTCGAAGGTCGTTCCGCGGTCGACGGACTCCTTTACCTCCCTAAGCCAGTAATAAGACTGGTAAAGAGGGAAATTTGGGCATGAGGCTAGCAACCCCATTCCGTAAAAATAAAACACCACTGCTACTAGAACTTCAAAGCCCTAGCATGAATCCCTATGTCCCACTGGGAACGCAAAGGAATACAGAAAATAAGTAAATGCATGACGGAACACGATCGCTTGAGCACTGTTTTGCTTTGTGGTCAACCGAGTTTTTGTAGTTTTTGTGTTAATTATAAGCCGGGCTACATAGTACGGATAACAAATGTAATTCGTTTTACAATCCTGCTATTCATTTCCTAATTGTAAGGCGATTTATTGCAGACCATTTCCTTGTAATATAATCGAGTGTAGGTTTCGAAACTAGTTGATCTCTACAGCGATTCAAAAACTACAAAGGCCATCCTTTTCCAACAGCTGTGTCCGTCAATTATTTCCTCCAATCATCTAAAGTATTAGCTGTACGAATATACTGAATCTTCTTAAATAAGCCCATAGCCAGGTCTCTATTATATTTTAAACGACAAAAGCTGTGAAAATTTAAATGTTGACCAGTACAACGTATCATGGTGTCGAATCACCTAGATTAGAAACTAACATGCAACTTGACTTATGAATTAAATCAGTACTATTAAGGTCTAGATACATCACACTAATCTTTCCTGCAGTTGCCGTTAAGCAAACCAGTACCTCTACAGATTTAATTTACCACATTTAGTGACTATATTTATCAAGAATCTATCTTGCATGTATATATGTATATATATACATGCATAAAATAAAACGGTTATAGAAAATTAATCTGTACATGAACTCATTGACATACAAATGTGTTCACACTTGATTTATAGAGTTCACGAAACTGTAAATCTTTCTAGGTTAGGGTTTGAGAAAGAGTATAAAAATGATAATTAGATGAGTAAAATTTATAAGATTATTTGTACGAATCGATAAATGTTATATATGTAAGTGCAGAGCGCGAATCCGAGACAAAAAATCATTGTTTTACAAAGTAAACGAATACTTGTTGGTATGGAAGATAGTAGAAAACTGGCATCCAGTGGCATAGTTCATGTAGAAATAACTTGGATTATTTGAATTCAGGATTATGACATGATAATAATAAAAAATTTAAAACAATTAGTCCCTTTTATAAATTTGGATAGTGTTATTAGAAGACGGAGATTATCTGAAAAATGTGATGTATTAGCGCTATACATGTATGATCAGATTGTTCGAAATGTACAGCGCAAATACATCACATTTTTCAGATAGTTTCCACATCTTCTAATAACACTATCGAAATAATAAAAGGGAAGAAAGAATTAGGCGATTAGACAATAGAATGACCTCTGTTGCTACCCTGACATAAGTTGAAACATTTTAGTCAATTATATTACGTCATCTAACTTACTAACTAACTCAATCTTACTTTAGTTGCTGTCCAATTAACCTTGTTTCTATTTTAGATCATTCTTTTATTACTTGATCAATTATCTAAACTTGACAAACCTCATGTACACACACACACACACACAAATAATTAAATATAAATGCGATTGTACAGCTATATGAATGAATTCGCCGAAAAGAGTCTCTTCGCTGAACGTCTTCTCTTTTTCATATGGCTAAATTACTTTCCCATTTTCATTCATAAAGGGGAATAAGTTTAAGAAGTTTCATTTGTATATTGACGAAACACTAAAGTGCAAAAGAGATATTGTCTTCAGCCTTACGTGGTGTTGCATTATGTGCTATGGATCAGGCAAAATAAATTCTCTATATTTGCGTCAACCCGAATGAATTAATGTTTGTAGAAGAAAATGTCAGTCAGTTGACATCTACTCTTATTAGTTAACACTGGAAATTGTTGATGTTGAGTAGTTTGACTGTGCACACTACTTTAGATATACCCAAATCTATAGAGGTATTTCAAATGATGTATGCCTGTGAAAAACGACTAGTGAAACAATTCTTTATTACTACGAATGAGTCCATAAGTGACTTAATAATATGACCATCTCCTAGATTGTTTGAATATACTTCATTACATCAGTTGTCAATAATTTGAGTTTAAATCAACTGTGTTTTTCCACAGTCAACAACTATCAAGATGAGGTGGTGTTTGTTTCAATCTATGCAACGCTTCAAAAATCCAATTTAGATGAATATTAGTCTGAGATGTTTTTGATCCCCTTTTTGATAGTAATAAGTGTGTACAGATTTACAAGATTCCTTGGACATAACGTAAGCCTTCGATAGAGGGAATCAATGATGTACGGAATTGTGCTTTTAATTAATACTATAATGGTAATTTACTTTATATCTAATTTTACATTCATTGTGCCTAACAGAAACAAATTTCCAGTCTAAATATGAAAAGAGTGCACTTAGGTTTTGGTAAACTGAACCCTTGAGTTGATGGAATGTTTGCCATTTGGCTATCGAGTTCAGAGAAATAAGTGAGCAAGTAAACGCTTTGGATGTTGTCTAGAAAAACAATGAAAGCTTCGCATTCAAGCCATCCTACTCAGAGAACAGAACTACATCAAGAAAAAAGAACTTTTGTCTGCTTATTATCAATTTACAACAAGATATTTAAGCGAACAATATTGTTTTCAATTAGATCTTCTTCAGGCTTTACTCTAATTTACATAGATTTATATAAGAAACTTTTAACGAATTACAGTGAGTTCCTGGATCAAAGAATAAGAAAAAGTGTTAAATGTTTTGAATGTCAGTAATAACGATGACTATAATGATAATAAGAAGCTCAACAATTCAACAGATTTAGATGGAAAGGCTGGAAAGAATCTAACAAACACGCTTAAGGAGCTTAAGAAAAGTGGGGTTATCTCAGAGGCAGCTTATAACTCTGTTACACCTACTGGAAGCAATAGTTCACGATCGTATGGTTTGCCAAAAGTACATAAACCAAGACTTCCAGTCCTAGACATGTCCAATCCCAGCTAACATGGAGTGGCTAAGTGGCTAGTTAAACTCCTCCAACCATTACTCAAGAAACTGGTAGGTCGCAGCTTATATTTATATCTGAAGGCTGTTTAAGCATGTTTATATATATAAAGTAGCTGCTTAAGAAACAGTTTTAGTCTTCAATGAGCAAATTACATCCTGAATTTTGCAGAATAAACGATTGCGAGTTACACATTTAGCTGTACAAAGTGGAAATGGATCCAGAAACATTTAATTTCATAAGTTTATTTACCGACTTGATATTTATCTTTATTTCTCTAAATGCATTCAACATAAGGCTCCAAAACAGTACTTGTTTCTCCATCAGAGGCGAGGCAATAATCATAGATTAAAACCTATCGGAAGAATTTTCGTTCGTTCACTTTTATATTCATTTTATGTTATCTATTCAGAAGCTTCGGGTCGTGATATTTCAGCAGCACCTTTAAGATATATGCTTCAGAGTTCATTTTTTTTGTTAAAGATGCCTATAACATGCGGTTACCTGACCATTGACTGAAAATGCTTTCCATTCAAGTGAAATCAGTCATAAAGTTTACATTCTGAAATAAAACATGAATTAAAGTAATATGATTCACTGTTCGAATAACTGGAAATAGACCCGGTGTTTTCACGCAGAAGGTTATTCGTATAGTAAATTCTTACAAATAGTTTATATATATATATATAAAAGGAAACAAGACAATCCGTCTTCTAAAATTCAGTGAAGAGATTCTAGAAGTATCGTATTTAGCGCTAAAATCTCACTTATCTAGCATATTTACCCTCCGAAAACAAATGTTTCACGTTGCACTTGAACTTGAGTGGGACGTTAATCGTGACAATTCATGTTTTATTTTTTGTGCAAGGAATTAGGTAAACTCAACTTTCCCTTAAGTAGAACAAGGTCAGAGAGATAAAATATCGTTCATTAGCTGAAATTTCAAGTTGGATTTTTAAATTAACTGGCATTAAATAGTGTTCTAATTCTAAAACTTAAAAATAAATCTAGTTTTCAAGTGAACTGAAAGTCACTTTGTATACTAGTTGATTCAAAATAGATTTTTTCAATTCATTAGGATACGGGTTGACAAGAGAAGACCTGATTGGGTAGCTAGTGTGACAACAAACAGACGTCACTCATTCACATAAAACTGTGTATTGCATGTGGTGACTGCAGTGAAATAATAAACTGAATGACACCTGAGTATTGTAGCTTAGCTAGTAGTGTTTTACACTAGTGATTTGGTGGCCACCGGTTCGAATCCTGCCTCTACGCCAGATGTTCATCTCATCTTCAATCATCACCAATTACATAACTTGATAAATTAGTAATCGAATTAAAAGTAGAGAATCGACATGCATTTAAGTTGTGACAAAATCAATTAATAAAATGAGGTGTGAAAAATAGAAGTAAATGCGAACATACCTCTGTCAGGGAACAACTCTTTCATTAGTTCAGATACTTCCCAAAATCCAATACGCAATACGGCAGCCTTAGTATTGTCTCCTAAATCTAAACCGTGACATATTCCCGCAGCTATCGCCACGACGTTCTTCAACGCTCCACACAATTCCACGCCAACATCATCTTGAGTTATAACAAGCTTGAGGTAATCGGACTGTATTGATAGGCAAAATATTGACATAAAGAAAGTACCATTTGTTAGGCCTTTTGAAAATATGGAGTTTATTTTTTGATGTACCCGGAATTTTGTGACATTTTATTTATCTTTTTGTTTTATTTTGATTACAGCTTGACGTCACACTGTATTTTCGGTAGAAGTATGGAATTTTCAACATGCGATATCGGTAGCCGAAATTTTGCAGGCCGACCACTGATATCAGGTGTGCGTCGGCAGGGGATCGAACCTTGGACCATGTACATGGTCGGCGACAGTCCTAACCACTGTGCCACTGACGCACACATATTCTTGAGCAGACATAATGAAATACAAATACATTACATTCCGTCATTTGATATTTATTCAGCTTCAGCGTTAATAAAATCAACTTCAGAATTGTCTTCTTCAAAATGCTACTCTCGAACTATTTTTTGAGGCATGTAGTTGGATCTTCGTCACACTTCTAGACTGGCCTTTACTTCACTTGTAAACGCATGCCTAATCAGAGGTGTATTTTCGAAAATCAACACACCGCTCACCAAACCATCTACCTTTTTTGCCATACTGCTGAACAGACTTAAACTGAATGAATTCCAGTGTTTTCATGTGGTTGTGTTCTCTGAGCTGGATAGTTAATTTGGGAAGCTTCCATCGCCCCACTAGGAAACATTTTCAGACGTCCATGGACGTCTTCCAAAAGAATGGATATCAACGGAACTTCATCAAAAGACATATACCTACAAGCCAACCTACGAAATCAAAGACCCCCAAGGAAAGCACCCAGAAAATCGCCCTACCATGTATAAAACACATCTCAGAAATCACTACAAGACCTTTCAAACCTTTAGGAATTGACGTCACACACAAACCAACAAAGTCACTTCACTCAATTCTCTGACAACCAAAAGACTCAACAGCGAAAGAAGATAAAACCAACACCATCTACAAAGTAAACTGTAACAACTGCGAAAAACACTACATTCGCCAAAGTGGACGTCCCCTTCGTCTTCGTATCCGTGAACACAAGATAGCCGTCAGAAGACATCACATACACTCCCTCGTATCACTACATACAAGCAACCACGGACATCAATTCGACTGGGACAACGTTCAAATATTAGACAGAGGAAACGCCAAAAATGCTAGAGAATTTTTAGAAGACTTCCTGGTATTCCAGTGAATTATCAATCAATAGACACATCGAGATAGGCAAAAATTACCAACCAATAAGAAGGAAACCTCACACACAAAGGGTCAAAGATCAAGTCAAGAAAACAATCAGTTCCAATCAGTTACAAGCAGCCTAGAGAGTGTGAAAACAAACAAAAACAACCTACCACATGCAAGGTCACCAGGAAAGATGACTGATAAACTCGTGGAGAAATCTAAAAGCTCACTTCAAATTGAAGTAGGCATTGAAGATGTTGCCTAGTGGGGCGATGAAACCTTCTCAGATTAACTGTCCAGCTCAGCTGAACTACAATTCTTCATCCTGTATGAATTCCAGTATCTCAAGATTCCAATTTTAACTAGTCTTCAAATAGTATACGAATTACTCACCTTGTAAAAATGGAAGATTAGGCATATTCAGAATAAAAAATCAGCAAACTACACAAGTCCAATGTTTGGTTCACTTTTGTGTGAAGTGGAAGTGAATGGTACAAGCTCAGTACATAACCTCGTTAAACAGTCATATGATGATCCACATAACAAGCGATTCACAGTAGAGCGAAGTGTAAACAAGAAAAAAGACAAGGCTGTTCAGTGTCCCTGCTGATGTTCCTGATTGTGGTGTACTGGACCATCCAACGGACTTTGGGGAGGACGAAAATGCATTGGCCGAAACAAGACTTTAGAAGCTTCGAATTAAGTGTGTGACCTATGCTTCATGTCGCACAGACTCGAAGATCTTCGGGTGAAAACTGACAAATCATCAGCAAAGGCAGAAAACACAGAGTTTCGTGTGAACATGTAGAATCTCTACAACATAGAACGCCACGGTCATTCAGAGGAAGTGAGTGAGTATGGAATTCAGAAGAGTAAGTAGAAATTATATCTTTATTATTTGCAAGGTCATCTTTCCCCATTGAACGATGTTGAATGATTAATGAATGCTCTCCTGTGTGATTGACTAAGTTTCTCCGCTTCACTTTTTTCAGCAGTGTGTTTTCGAAATAAAGCTTGAAGCTGCACAACTGCCTCAGATGGTAATTCGGACAACTACTTCGATAGAAGGGTCGGTTACTAAAGACATAGAGAAGAAAAGATACCCAATCAAAAACAACAAGCATCAATCAGTGTCAATGGGAAGAATTCAAAATAAGTCGTCCCCTACACTTCCCTGATCTGGGAGCGTCGTTTCAACTACAGGAGGTATGGATGAACATGTCGAATTCCACAAAGATAGGATAGACACCATAGATATCTGGTGTGCGTCAGTAGGGGAACGAACCTCGGACCATGTGCATGGTCGGCAAGAGTCCTAACACTAATCCTAAATCAGTGCTTCTATATGATTCAGAGACTTGGTGCGCCAGTCACAAAAAGCCTTTCCAACATCCGGGTGCACATTTTTATCACCAGCTGCCCACAACAGGTACTGAAGATCAAATGACTAGCAGGAAAGCATAAGCGACAAGAAGCTCTGACAGCTCAGTGAACCAACCTATTACTGAGCAAATATGTAGTATGGAACGAGACGGACATTCAAGTGGTATCACACCCCAGGCTGTTGAATGGAATCCGAATGAGAACTGACCAGTTGAGTGTCCTACAGTGATATGGAGGAGATCGTGTGAAGAAGAAATGAAGGCTTGTAGGGAGTCGACGGCCCGGTTAAAAATGACGGAAAACAATATAGTACAGTGGTGATGTGCTTCTGAAGCCCTATCTTCCACTTGGAACGTAAAGAACAAATAATAATATTGTAACCCATATCTTAACATCCTACTGAAAATTCACGGCTACTGGTTTACATTGAATAATTATTTGTAAATTTGGGTATACCAAATCGAAGTCTAGGAGGATCAAAGTGAAAATAACATTTTTAGCTTATATGTTTCCTTAAAAAATTTACCATGAGAGTCGCTGATCTTTTTATACCACTGTGTTGTGTAGGAAACTTGGCACTGTATTTCCACTCATATCTTTTAAGATAGAAAATATAGTGAAGATTACCTGTAGAAGCCTTTTTACTTCATGTGCATATGTGAGATTCTTGGAGCCGATAGTTGCCTCGGTGAAATGTTGTTTGGCCACTTCGACAGCTGTTGTAGCCCCGATAACGACCACGCAGCTTTTACCAGTTTGCTCTCGAATAACATCGCTTACCAGTTTAATTCTGTTTTCCTCGGGACACAGAATGAGACCCTACGTTTAAGAGAAAGTGGGAGCATTTTGCAAAGCATCATTTCTATGTAACCGTGAGAATACAAAGTATGCAAATAACTTTACGACTTCTACGAACAGACACACAAAGAAACATAACTGAACGGATATAAAAACAAAAAGGTATATTACATGCATTCAGAAGCTCACAGACTCTAATATTTTCGTTCGGTCTCAACATCGTCAGATCAAAAATGAGAATACATTCATTGTCTAAGATGGAGGTCTTTGGTCTAATTTGAGAAGTGACATAAGTTTTGACAGTAGAACATAGAATACGGTTTCAGTACTGTATATTTTCTTATGGTTTTCTACTAACACCAGCTCCCAATAAAACGTTAATAGAAATAGCAAGCAGCAATTATGACACCGCGACGAGACAGACAGTGTTTCAGAAATTGCCCAAGTTCGATAATTAGATAAGTAGACTGGTACAGCAGCACATTCATGAAACGTGATGTGACTTATCTTCAAAATATGGCAGTCACCAATACGATGGCATCAGAGTTATTCAATTCAATTAGTGTCTTTATACGTGCAGTTCAGATTATTACACGATATGTAGTCTTAGAAACACCTGACATAAGGGAATGAAAAGTCATAATGACTATGAAATCACTTTTTAAAAAGTAATGCCTTTCAAAATTGTTCTTAAATAAGGAATCAGTTAAAATTCCTTAACACAAGAATAATTGAACTTCGCATGCCGTTACAGCAAAGCAACACTTAAAAAGGTCACTCAATCATCCAACTCCACGCATTAAATTGAAGAAAGTAAACAAATCTAACAATCTATGGTTGCTAAAACTATTCGGCCTGTACCAAATACTTTAGTGAGCAGCATAAGAGAAGCATATCCAAAAATGGAAGTAGCTGGGAATTCGGCTAGAACTATTTTGAGATAATGCTATGAAAGGCTATGAATCTCAGGGTCTATCAATATATACTGCCAGACTCTGGAAGATATCTCAATATTTGTCACCTACAAGGTGATTAAGGCCATTATAAAATATGTTTTGAAGAATCCCAGACGAAATCAAGTGAGTATTGTTCAAGGACCTTTATAAAGAAACAATGATACTTTGGTAGTCTTCGAAGTCGTTGTCGTGGCATTTCTGTAAAAATAATACATTTATTTAAAATGATATCTTATCGGTGTATTGTTGTTATTGTGTAAATTCACATCATGCAAGCATACGGAAAAGAAATTATGGATCAGTCAGCTACTAAAGTTGTGGAGGCCAAAAAATATCAAATTCTACGTTCGTTGTAAAATAGTAAAAATAATGAATTCACTGCACATCATAGGTGTTAATTGAAATATTGAATAAGCACACCATCTTGTTCACCACGCACTCCGGACGACACAACTTCCCTTCTCCAGTTTCTTGCTTCCCACTATTATCGATCATCTCTGGCCCGTACCTGATCAGTATATCCACGTTTTGGATCCTTCGCTTCAATCTCCTTTTCTTTCTACAAGTACCCCTCGGGCTGTTGGCATACCCTTATGTGGAGTGAGCAACTGCAGATCAAAAGGAATACTTCATTACTTCAATTCTCTACGTCTTTATTTGTGTATCTTGAGACAATTATAACTCAAAAAATAACTGTATTATATATATATATATATATATATAAATTGTGTGGACTGAATTCCTCTCTACATGTATATTTATATTTTTATTTACATAGACATATATATGTATATAATCAAAGGTTTCTAATTCTTTTGTTACTTTCCTATGAGTATAAACGACCTTGACCGTTTGGTCCGCAACAAAATACATAGAACTCCTTATATGAGATGTCACATAGACTACATATCTTCTCTACTAATCTAGAGGTAGTACATCAATTTATGAAGAGTTCTTTACTGATTAAGCTCATGTTTTGTACCTTATCTTGCAAACATCTGTATTTTTCAAACTTACCTTACAAAAGGAGACAAAATATGCACCGTCTTTGATAAATTTCTTCACATTTTCTACCAACCATAGAATGTGGCATGATGGATAAGACACTAATATAATGTCAGCTTCTTCGACCACTTTCTGAATATTAGAGGAGGCGGAAACATTCGAAGGAATATCAAGTGTTGGCAAGTACTTGGGATTTATATGTTCTTGATTAATCCAAGTGGTTAGGCTACGACCGTTGCAATCTTCATCTCTTACGTACCAATAAACCTACGAAATAATTACTACGTAACTAGAAACCAAAACGTTTACTTCTTCATGAAATTCTTTTGAAGACTTAACGTTGTCAGCAACAAGTTTAACGGTGGCAGTACCCCAGGCGCCACAACCAAGAACGACAACACGTTTCACCATTAGAAAAATTTGAAGTGTCTCCCAGAAAAGGTCAAATAAAGTAACAACCTTAATAAGTTTTAACAAAAAATATTGTATGCAACTTAGTTCCTATACAACTACTTTTATGGCATCGACTTCCAAAACGCTGTTGATTCTCTAATTCACAGATATATGACCGCTTCAATTAATATGGAAGGTTGAGACAGAGACAAATAATTAATCTGAAATTCAGATGAAATTGCGCAATGTTATTTTTGAGATGTTATATTTGGCTACGATAAGCGGTAAAATATCCATAGTTGGAAAAGCCTCATATGCATAAGTAGTTTATGATAAACTCCTTAGTATTCCACAGAAACAGAAATAAGTTAAAGTTAAAGTGGACTATAAATTGTGCCTTGGAGCATATTGTAGCGGTAAATAATTCCCCAAAGTTATTGACCGTAGGAATCATCAGTGAACATTGGATGCTGACCCTTAGTGTTTAAGTCGACTTGTTTAGCTGAAGGCTTCCGGTCAAGCATCCTCGCCATTCGGTACTCCGTCGTGTCACTTTCGTGCACGATCACCAACCAGCTTAGCTTCCGCTTCAGTCCACGATTTGGTTCCGAAATATATCTCGTAGTTTGGAAGATCAGCTCTGGTCTTTTGCTTTGCCTTTGGTACACGAGAAACGAATACTATAGAAGTTAGTGTTATGAGATTTTATTTCATTTTATTTTTGATTACAGCTTGATTCCACTCTGTACTTTTGGTACAAGTATAGAATTTTCAGCATGGATATCGGTAGGCCAAATTTTGCAGGCCGACCATAGATATCATGTGTGCGTCGGCAGGGGATCGAACCTCGGATCATGTGCATGGTTGGTGAGAGTCCTAACCAATGTGCCACCGACGCACAGATCTTGCGTTAGTATACTCCGTACAATTCACGAAAGTCAATACCGTCAGCCTCTAAACTGGTGAGCCCAACCGCGAGCTTCATCTTCGATAAATACGCAGAAAACCCCGGTGAGTTCGTTCCATTTTGTATTTGTTTTTGTACTGTATTGAAATCGGTATAAGTTTCGTCATGAGTGATACTAGTCCCAAGGTCACCCGTATTCGCTCAACTGCAAAAACCATTCAGCTCGTACTACACAGGCCATAAAAATGCAGTTGAAGAATGAACGATCAATTCATGGTTGTTTGCTCAAAACCAACTTCCCCAATTTTCGCGGAGGTATCAATAAGACAGTCATCGTCACATCCCATACTATTTACCAATTTTCGTGTGTGTGTGGACATACATACATAGAGAGGAGTAATCGCGCTTTGCACGTGAGGGTGGGAGAGCATATCCCAAAATGGTTAGAAAAACAGATGAATTGTGACAAGCTAATAGATGTAGGTGGCAGACTACCAAATTCGTCTATAGCTAAACATCTAATCGAGATGAACCATAAGATTGATGTTAACTCAGCCTTTAAGGTCATCTATAAAAACGGTCAAGGGCGTTTATTGAAATACGCTGAGGCTATAGCTATTCATAGACTTAAGCCCCCCTTGTGTATTCAAAAACAGTTTGTCATTACTCTTAACCTACCTTGGTAATCCTTATTTGATTGGATTACCAAACGTTTGTGTTAATTATTCTTAATTCCGTTTTCTCTCACTTTGTTTAACTTAACTTTTCCATATATATTGACTTGAAAAGTAAATGTGTGATCAGATTGTTCGAAATGTATAGCGCAAAAACATCACATTTTTCAGATAATCTCCGTCTTCTAATAACGCTATCAAAATTTATAAAAGGGACTAACTGTTTAAATTTTTGGAAAGAAGACTCCCTCCATGCACTATCAAACGGTTAGATGGACTTTTTAACCTTAAATGTAAAGTAGCATCTGAAAAGGTGAAATCGGATTTTAATAAAATTTGTCTCTCAACTCACACATTCCCGAAGGCATTTTACAAACCCCTTCGATCTTCTAAACTTCAACCAAGTATTTCAAATTTTATTCGCCTTACGAAATCTCACATTGACAATTCTAATGAGAGGTTATATGCATTGAACTCCATTTATCGTCATAACATATATTGTCTGATGTCTCCATAATTTACTTAATCAAGTTGATTAATTTTTGTAGCTCTGCCGTTAATAAGACCAAAGAGAGTACTAGATTGAAATTGCCTGAATCTCGCACCTCTGACTTTGAATTAAACTAATTCCCTTTAAATTCTGATAAGTATGTGATAGATCTGTCATCGGTTGAACTTTTATTACATGAAAAGGAGGTGTTATCACTTGGTTTCAATTTTTCTATCCCATTAAACATTATTTCGGACTTAGCAATTGATTTTGAAAATTTGTATGATCAGTTGAGTTCTCTAACTCCTTCCTCGACAGATGACCAAAGTTCGTTGAAAGTTAAATTTGTTGATGTTGCACACCAATTCCGTAATTCAAGTCGAAAACAAAGAAGCATTTTAACATCAACCCATTTTAAAGCCCTAAAGGAATTACGTAACAGATCCGATTTAGTTATTTTGAAACCTGACAAAGGATCTGGTGTAGTTGTAATGGACAGAAGCGATTACAAAACAAAAATGTTATCCATCCTTAATGACGAAAGCAAATTCATAGCCGATGTTCCTTCGGATGATATCAGAAAACTGGAAGGAAAAGTAAATTCTCATTTAGTAAAACTTCGTGGCATGAACGTTATCGATAAACAGGAGTTTAACTCCTTGAAACCCATGGGATCTGATTTTCCAAACCTCTATGGACTACCTAAAATTCATAAGGTTGACAATCCATTACGTCCAATTCTTTCAATGTGTAACTCTCCTACACATAAACTAGCAAAATGGTTAGCTGATATTTTAAGCCCAGTACGCAATGAATTATGTAAGTTTACTTTGAAAGATACATTTGAACTTGTTGACTGTCTTGTAGATATGAACATAAAAGATAGGAAAATGTATTCATTTGATGTTAATTCTTTGTTTACTAATTACCATTGATTAAGACTGTTGATATTCTTTGTGACTATATATCTTCTAGTTGTTTTTCATTCCCTTTCCCTTTAACTTATTTGAAAGATTTATTATTATTATGTACTGACAACGTCCATTTCACGTTTGAAGGCGAACATTTTCGACAAGTGGATGGCGTTGCTATGGGGAGTCCATTAGGACCTTTGTTAGCGGACGTGTACATGTCTTATGTTGAAAACTTATCCCTTGATTTAATTTCAAAATTGCCCTTTTATAGGAGATATGTAGATGATATCATTTTGATATGTGACGATCATGAAGATGCGAGTCGCCTATTAGACAGACTTAACTCTGTACAAAATCATATTAGTCTTACATGTGAGGAAGAAAGTCGCAACCAGCTAGCATTTTTAGACATACTTCTGAGTCGAAGAGATGATGGCTCAATAAGACGGTCTATCTACAGAAAGCCCACTTGGACAGGGCAATACCTTAATTTTCACAGCTTCTGTCCATTACAGTATAAGAGGGGCTTGGTGAAGTGCCTATTCAAGAGGATTCAGCGTATTTGCACGGCTGATGTTATGGACAGAGAAAACGAAATATTAATGGATACTCTTGTTGAAAACGGATATCCTTTGAAATTTTTAAACAGGTGTAGAAGTCAACTAGCCTCTAAACCTACAATCCATACCGTCCCTAAGAAAAAGGTTTTTATCAAATTACCATATAACGGGGAAATAAACAGTAGGATTGTGAGACAAAGGTTGAATTCAATCATCCGTAGGACCTACTATGCTGCCCAGCTTGTAATTGTGGAAAAAGCCAAAAATATGCTTCACTGTAAACCCCAAAAGTGCACAAGTGATTATATCACATCCCATACAATTTACCAATTTTCGTGTGTGTGTGGACATACATACATAGGGAGGAGTAATCGCGCTTTGCACGTGAGGGTGGGAGAGCATATCCCAAAATGGTTAGAAAAACAGATGAATTGTGACAAGCTAATAGATGCAGGTGGCAGACTACCAAATTCGTCTATAGCTAAACATCTAATCGAGATGAACCATAAGATTGATGTTAACTCAGCCTTTAAGGTCATCTATAAAAACGGTCAAGGGCGTTTATTGAAATACGCTGAGGCTATAGCTATTCATAGACTTAAGCCCCCCTTGTGTATTCAAAAACAGTTTGTCATTACTCTTAACCTACCTTGGTAATCCTTATTTGATTGGATTACCAAACGTTTGTGTTAATTATTCTTAATTCCGTTTTCTCTCACTTTGTTTAATTTAACCTTTCTATATATATTGACTTGACAAGTAAATGTGTGATCAGATTGTTCGAAATGTATAGCGCTAATACATCACATTTTTCAGATAGTCTCCGTCTTCTAATAACGCTATCAAAATTTATAAAAGGGACTAACTGTTTTAAATTTTTGGAAAGAAGACTCCCTCCATGCACTATCAAACGGTTAGATGGACTTTTTAACCTTAAATGTAAAGTAGCATCTGAAAAGGTGAAATCGGATTTTAATAAAATTTGTCTCTCAACTCACACATTCCCGAAGGCATTTTACAAACCCCTTCGATCTTCTAAACTTCAACCAAGTATTTCAAATTTTATTCGCCTTACGAAATCTCACATTGACAATTCTAATGAGAGGTTATATGCATTGAACTCCATTTATCGTCATAACATATATTGTCTGATGTCTCCATAATTTACTTAATCAAGTTGATTAATTTTTGTAGCTCTGCCGTTAATAAGACCAAAGAGAGTACTAGATTGAAATTGCCTGAATCTCGCACCTCTGACTTTGAATCAAACTAATTCTTTTTAAATTCTGATAAGTATGTGATAGATCTGTCATCGGTTGAACTTTTACTACATGAAAAGGAGGTGCTATCACTTGGTTTCAATTTAACTATCCCATTAATTATTATTTCAGACTTAGCAATAGATTTTGAAAATTTGTATGATCAGTTGAGTTCTCTAACTCCTTTCTCGACAGATGACCAAAGTTCGTTGAAAGTTAAATTTGTTGATGTACGACATCAATTCCGTAATTCATGTCGGAAACAAAGAAGCATTTGAAAATCAACCCATTTTAAAGCGCTAAAGGAATGACGTAGCAGATCCGATTTAGTTATTTTGAAACCTGACAGAGGATCTGGTGTAGTTGTAATTGACAGAAGCGATTACAAATCAAAAATGTTATCCATCCTTAATGACAAAAGCAAATTCATAGCCGATGTTCCGTCGGATGATATCAGGAAACTGGAAAGAAAAGTAACTTCTCATTTAGTAAAGCTTCGTTGCATGGGCGTTATCGATAAACAGGAGTTTAATTCCTTAAAACCCATGGGCTCTGACCTTCCAAACCCCTGTGGATTACCAAAAATTCATAAG